CAAAAACACAATTGCAGACAGTGACAATGACATAAAGAATGTTACTAACTGATAATAGACGTGTCTCATTTATGCATAAAAAGTATAGCCTAGTGAAACGGAAACCTATAGGTAACCAATTCACAATAAGTTAATGAACTAACAATGAAAACGTTTAAAGCATTAAGCTTATAGTTAATTTCAACATTTGCTAACACATATAACATGGGTTGCGTTAAAAAAAGATTAATGTTACTTGCGTTAACAAAGATTAATAAATACTCCAAAAATGTATTGCTCATTGATAGGTCATGCATTAAATAACAATAACTAGCCTACTAGGACATTCAAGTAAAGTGTTTCCAAAATATACTATTAGAATATTTATTAATAAATTAAAAAAAAATACTACCAGTACTAATATAAATACAGATAGGCTAGGCAACTAGTAAGTTTTAATGGAGAAAATCTGTAATACGGCTTCCCATACATGCCTTCACTGTCCGGGTGCGATTTTTCTTTTCTTTTTTTTTCTTTTTTTCAATAAATGTTAGACGCTACAAAAGTCGCATTCCTGTATTGAAACGCCGCTGCTCTTGTACAGTCCTCCTGTCTCTCTGCTTAACACTGACACATTAAGAGAGACCAGAAAAACAGTCGGCTACAGAACAGCCCGAGAAACCGATTCGGGAGCCGACAATTATGCGGGTTAAATTTTAGATATAGAAATTAAAAGATTTACCTTTTCTCGTTTCGACAGCGCACGAGACGATAACAGAGACCGTTGAGACCTTTCTCTTCGTCCCAGTGCGGATCTGAGGCTCCACGCGCTGGGAAAAAAATGTGATCTTCAGATGGTAGTACCTCAATTAATCCCAAACATGGTCGAGCGGAGAGCTGGCCCGAAATACAGCGCTTTTCTCAAAATCCGCCGTCTCGTTCCGAGGGGGATGGTAACCCGTTAGTTTAGTGCGCGTAGGGCGGCCTGTTCTCTGGTAATTATGGTGTAAATTTCCCGAGGATCGAGGACACTCCGTCCGCGGGATGAGCGCTGCGCTCCGGCTGTAAGCACTGAGTGAGCGCCGCTATCCGGTCTAACGGAGACGGAGCAGCTGAAGAGACCCGCCCACTCTGTCAACCCGGAAGAGAACTGTCAATGAAATGGCATTAATGACATCAGTTGCACTCAAGAATGAGAGCCATGGGTGGACAGTGGAAATATTATTAACAATAACAACCTTCTAACCTCTGGCTAAATCAGTTGTATAAAACAACTGGTTTTGCCTAAATAATCATGGCTTTAAAATTAAACGTTTAAAATGTTAAAATGTATGATCCATGAATTGCACTGGGCCTTAACAAAATCCAAAATGACTAATATGACCTAGGACCTAGGCTGAACAGGAACATTAACACTTTTGTTTTGCATAATGTTCACGATGTTGTTTGACGTTTTGCATGAGCAACAGCAGACGTGTGATAACATATCAATAAAACACTGGGCCAAATATTATGTATTATCAAGTGACAGACAGGTATACATCAAAAAATACTGTACAGTTTGATTGGATGCACAGCCTTCGATGTCAACAACAAAGGCTTTCATGACTATGTACAGTACTGTGCAAAAGTCTTAGGCACGTTAGTATTTTCACACACAAAAAGGTTTTTAAGCCAGTTTCTTTTATCTTTTGCTGTAGTGTGTCAGTAGGAAATATCAGTTTACATTTCCAAACATTGCTTTTGCCATTAATTGAAATAATCCAGTGAGATTTTTGTAGAAGTTAATTGATAAATAAAATCTATTTATGACTTTACAGCATTTTTACACAAGTGCCTAAAACTTTTCACAGTAGCCTAATGTAGCTTTGCAGGTGGGTTTATTCAAGAGTCTTGGAGACGTTGCCACAGTTCTTCTGGATTTAGTCTGTCTCGGTTTCTTCTGTTCCTTCGTGTAATCACAGACAGACTCGATGATGGTGAGATCAGATCTCTGTGTGGAGCAGACTGACTGTTGTTAGTCTCCTTGTGCATACAAAAATCTCAATGGATTATTACAATTAATGGAAAAAGGAATGTTTGGAAATGTAAACTAATATTTCCTACTGACACACTACAACAAAATATATAAATAACTGGCTTAAAATCATTTTATTGGGGTGAAAATACTAACGTGCCTACGACATTTGCACAGTACTCTATGTTTATGACTAGTGCCTTTTTAATTTTAATTTAGCTTTGTTATTGCCTAGTTGTGTTCCACTAATACACCAGTTGAAACCAGTGGTATGTAAAACAATTGAGGACATTTTCGGGTCAAAGAATGATATTGGGTCCAATGTTAGAAAAGTTTTAAAATAATAGCACTTTGGTCAATAAAGTATGATTACACTTTACAAAGTGAAACTTTGAAAGAAAGAAAAAACTCACGTCCTGGTTTGAGAAAATACAAAATGGCAACACCAACAATGACCCTTGCCCTGTGTGCAATTGGCAGCTGTAAAAATCTTCCAGAGAAATAATTGCTTTGTCATAATTTGCAGTGTTACTGTTTATCTAGAATAAAATTCAGTTTCTTCTCTCTATTTTGTTTATTTTAAGTTGCTTCAGAATTAAAGGAGCTGTATGTAAGAAATGTATATCAATTAAACATAAAATGGCCCTGATGTGTCACTAGACATTAAGAAATCATGCTCATTTCAAATACTTATATCACTGACAACAGTAGTGCGGCCAGGATATTGTCATTTAAAAAGTGAAGTTGCAGCCCTCAACTGATATTGATGTTGTCATGTTGTGTTTTGGTCTGATGCTCCACCCTCCACCTATCTACCAATCAGGAAGTCAGTAGTGTTGCGGGATCCGGGTTGCCAGCTCTGCTCTAGTTACCACTTCTTGGAGCAGACTACGTTCCTGCTGGATCCTGCAGCCTATCTGGCAACCTCGAGTCAGGGAGGGGATACACTGCTCTACGGTAATTTGAAAGTGATTGCAGTACCAGTTTTGGCCACAATCTTACATATAGCTCCTTTAAGTAAAAATAATAAACCAATATTAATATGCACAAACCTAATAAATGAAAATTAATATATTCCTTTTGTGTCTAAGTGTACATGCATGACGTTAGGAGTGCAATAATATGCATTTGGAAAATAGGGCCATATCTGGTGCTATTATTCTATATCGATTTAGGACTTCCGACACTGCATGTTTAGTCACATTTTATCCTCTGAAATACTCTGAGCATTTGTTCCATAAACTAACAACACACCAACACACACACACACACACACGCACACACACACACACAGCTGACATGCTTTCTATTGTGTATTTGAGATGGAAGGACATTTTAAACAATGACCCGGTAAAAAGCCCAATCTTTCATTTATTGCAGTTAAGTTTTATTCATAAAATATTCATGGTTGTTTGCAATTGAACTTCAATACAGAATCTCCAGCTATAGTTTATTTATGCATTGCATGCACCAGCCACTTGTAGCAACTTCGTCTTGATGAAATATAAATGAGACGTCAAGTGTGTTCAGTATGTTCTTTGCCCCAGTCCTCTCTCAACCTTTTATAAAAATGGTAACTGATCTATAGTCAGAACACAGCAGGACTAAACTGCGGTGAACCAAACAGCTGTATTCAGGTCAAATGCCAAAAGAGGATGTAGACGCAACACTATAGCAGGAAAGAGGAGCTCTGTCCCTTCTTATCAGCGGCCGCCTGCAACATCTTGTGTGTGTGTGTGTGTGTGTGTGTGTGTGTGTGTGTGTGTGTGTGTGTGTGTGTGTGTGTGTGTGTGTGTGTGTGTGTGTGTGTGTGTGTGTGTGTGTGTGTGTGTGTGTGTGTGTGTGTGTGTGTGTGTGTGTGTGTGTGTGTGTGTGTGTGTGTGTGTGTGTGTGTGTGTGTGTGTGTGTGTGAATAAACTCCAACATACTGTTCTACCAAGCGTGTCGATCTGTATGAGGTGATTTCTCCGTCACATTTTTCTCTTTATGTCTCCAACAATATTTCACTTCAAAACATGCAGAGGGGTCCATATGAAAGAGAACAAAGTGAACTCTGAAGTTGACATTTAAGATGGCAGAAAAGGTGAAATGACAAGTAATGGCATTCATAGAAAGGACAAGAACAGAGAGAATGAAATGAAGAAAGGAAACACTCACCTCTTTTGAAGTCTCCTTTCTGTGGGCATAATGTAAAATAGGCATAACATGAAAAAAGTATCCTAATATTTCTATTATTTTATAGCTATGCAGCTTTTCCAACAAATTCAAGTGCTTTTCAGTATTATATTGCCATGAACTACACTGGCAAACAACAACAATTCATTAAATGCAACAATGACTGCAATAAAAAATAAAATTAAAATGACATCCTTAATGAGAAGAAATATAGATGTTTAAGACTTATAGTTTGTACATCAGTCAAAATCCCGAATTTACCACTACTGTGATAATGGTTAAGATTGGAATATCTATTTTTGATGCTGTGTACATTTTCATTACATTTCTCTGTCACTCAAAGAAAGGAGAGAAGGGAGACATGAAGGACAATGCCACTGTGGTGGGTGTTGAATCAAAATCTATAAAGAGGGGAGAAATAATTACCTGACATCTGTTTTTAACAAAGTTAATTAGTCATTTATTTCCCCATGCAACACGTGTGATTGAAATATAAATGCCATTATTCTCTTTTATTCTATAACGAGTCTGTCATGGACTATAAATCAAACTTAACTTCAGGTCTAACTGCTGGGAATGGGAAAAGGCAATTTGTTGGCCCTATTTCAAATTATATTACACATATTTTACAGAGATTTTTGGCTCAGTCCCTCTAGAATTCTAACTGTGAACAAAAACAAAAAATAAATAAATATAAAACAAGTTGGAAGATTAATATAATAATCAATAATATTTTATATTTGTTCTACAAATATATTATAATGCAACCCATAACACAAACGGAACCATCGGGCGCAATCGATTGTAGCAACGGAATACAAATATAACGCACGCTGTCACGTTCTCCTAATCTCTTCCGGGTGAATAGGATGTTGTGATTTAGCTGTAGGCTAACGAGCTCACAACAGAGTTTTACAAAATTCCTGGTTATGTTCGTTGCTTAAAACTACAAATGTCTGCGTCTTCTGAACCAGGAATATCAAAAGTAAGGGATTTGAATCCAGCGACGCTCTCGGCGAGTAAAGCACAGGCAGCGGCGGCGTTAGTTGCTCAAGCCCGGAGCAAGAAGCGAGCCGTCAGTCCCGCAATCCACACAATACCGCAGCCAAATAATAACATCAGCAAAAAGAAAAAAACACAACCTCCATCGTCAACTACTCAAACTCAGGTAAAGAAAAAACACTAGACTTCAACATGACGGGACTAACGTTACTGTTTACATGTCATGTTTCATTTAATAATGAAACGTTTCTCGTTGGTGGTGTTGCAATTGTCTCAGGTTGCTCCAGTGGAGGGGACTTCTGAAGGAAAACTAGCAGCAGCTGTTGATATAGAGAATGCTACAAAGTGTCTGCCTTTTAAAAACCCTAACTTTGTGGTAAGAGTTTTCTCACAAAAAGTCCCAGATGTACCTAGATACATTTCAATACATTCATAAGTTTTTCCTCCACTAGCACTCAGGTATTGGTGGAGCAGCAGCAGGGAAGAAGAATAGGACGTGGAAGAATCTGAAGCAGATTTTAGCAGTAGAGAAAGCGCTGCCCTGGAAAATATCTGATCCTAACTGTGAGTCTGACAAGTAATCAAACACAGATTAATTCTGTCAAAATAAGAGTTTAAGAATAATTGCAGATTGTGTGTTTACATCTCAGGTCACAGTCTCAGTGAATGTGTTGATTTACTTTGACAATATTTAAATATTTAGTTGTTTTTCTCTAAGACTGCAGCATAGATGCACCTCCTTCTATGAAACCTGCTAAAAAGTACTCGGACATCTCAGGTCTACCAGTGAGTCTGTTGTAAAATGATGATGTTTAATAATATGGAAACATTATTAATGTAATTTTCTGGATGTAGCCTCTAACCTCACCTAATGATTTTTACATCTTTGTGTCCCAGGCAAACTACACTGACCCTCAGACTAAACTGCGCTTCGCATCAACAGAGGAGTTTTCCTACATCCGTCAGTTGCCCACAGACGTGGTGACCGGATACCTGACTCTCCGTAAAGCCACCTGCATTGTTCCATGAGAGAGAACCCCAAAATAAAGAGGGTTGACTCTCTTTTCCAGCCATAGACTTTCAGTGGATTATTTAGAATGAACTACTTTTATTATTATTTTTCTTACACTGTTTTTCACACACATAACATGCAGATAACTCCTTAATCTTAAGATCTTAAATGGATCCAAATACTGGTGTGAACTATAACCAGTAACCCAGTGTAAATTAGATTATAAATAGAGACAGGTCTCTAGAAAAGGAACAATTTCTGTTGTCAACCCCATGAAACCCCTTATTAGAACAGTTCACAATGTGGTCAATGAATAAAGTATTTCATTTAACAATCATATTGATATTGTTTTGCCTGGTAATTGGTCTCCTAAAGCTGTTTTTTTTTTTTCATATCAAAAGATGCTGTATGGCCTTTGGTTTTCATAGGTTACATTTAGTAATTTAGCAGATGCTTTTATCCAAAGAGACTTACAAATGAGAAATACAGCAGACAATGCAAGAAGTGCTCAAAATACAAAGTTTTCGACATTGCTTAGAGTAGCATAAGCCAGACAAGGGAGGGATTCAAGGAAAAGGAAAGTTTTTTTTTTTTTTATGAGGTCAAGTGCTCATGGAAGAGATGAGTTTTCAGCTGTCTTTTGAATGTTGTCAGGGATTCTGTATTCAGGATGAGGTTGGGGAGATCATTCCACCAGCAAGGAACCGTGAATGAGAATGTTCTGGAGAGTGATTTTGTGGCTCTCTGTGATAGTACCACGAGCCGTCGCTCATTTACCGATGGTAGGCTTCTGGTAGGGATGTAGACTCGTAAGAGCGAGTGGAAGTAGGAGGGTGCTGAGCCTGTGGTCGATCTGTAAGCAAGCGTCAATGCCTTGAACTTGATGTGAGCAGCGAGTGGTGGCCAGTGCAGAGAGATGAACAGAGGAGTAACGTGGGCCCTTTTGAGCTTGTTGAAGACGAGACGAGCTGCAGCATTCTGGATCATTTGTAGAGGTTAAATAGCACATGATGGAAGTCCAGCCAGAAGAGCATTGCAGTAATCAAGCCCAGAAATGACCAGGGCCTGGACGAGAAGTTGTGTTGCATGCTTGTTAGTGCAAACCTGCATGATCGAACAGTCTTTGCAATGTGGTCTTTGAAGGTCTGCTGGTCATCAAATATTATTCCAAGATTTCTGACCGACCTTGATGGGGTGATTGATGAAATGCAGATCTTGCATCCCAAACTCATGACCACTGTTTTACAAACCATTATTCTAACCACTGAGCTACTGAACCTCATCTAATTCATTACTTCATTCATGTACGTGACAATGAATGATTTTGTTTGTTCATAAGTGAATCCTTAATGAAGAACAAAATTTAACATTTCAGATCATCTTTCTATACTATGATGTCACAAACAGTATAGAGAAACTACTGTTTAGAGTAAAAAAAGCTGCCGTAAAATATGAAATCTACCATGAAGTAAAAGCATCACCTAAATTATTTCATTTTAATAGAGAAAAAGGAAGATCTTCACCTCAGATCTTTCATATCAAAGCAGATTCAACAACATTGTACTGAAGACCAGGACCTAATCTCACAACCTGCGAGTCCCAGTTTTCTGTGAAGGTCCATGTCCATCCAAGTCACTGCAGTGTGTCAATTCAGGGTCATTTTAAGAACAGGTCACAATGAGAAAATTTTTCCCAGCAGGCCCCAGCGAGGATCGAACTCGCGACCCCTGGTTTACAAGACCAGTGCTCTAACCACTGAGCTATGGAGCCTCACATGATGCCTGTCAATCATTTGAGTGTTTGTGCTTTGAGTTAGAATGACAAAGACACACCTCAAAGAATTGGCAGGCAGCCTAAGATATCTTAACAGATGCTTCAGAGAAAAGACAAAATCAAACTAAACTCAGTCCAAACAACAGACTGGTCACATTCTTGTAGCCCAACTGACTTAGGCTACTTCGTTTGAAAGAGGTCTTTATTTACATAGAGACTGTTCTGAAATGGAATCAGCTGTGTAGATATATGTGAAGACACTTGACCAAATCAAGACTTTCTGGTTCTATAGAGATACCATTAAACTGAGTCACACAGTCAGAATCAAAGACTTTAGAGAGCAGAAGAATCATATCAAGGCAGATTTAGAACCATGATTCCTTATTCGTCTTGTCCTTGTTTTTTTGTCAGTTTGCAAAAAGAAAAAGATAAAACTTTATTGAGAAAGGAATACATTGTTATAAAATAAACCTATTATTTTGAAACATTAATAAAACAAAATGTAGCTGATCTTAAATCTGTATTTTGTATTTTAGTACACATCAGTTAGACACAAATAATCAGAACTGAAGTTAACATTTATCATGTATGTAATTTTGATAAATGATAGATGGATTTGATTCATTCGGATTTCATTTAGTTGGTTTTACAGCCTTATAGTGTATAGTGTTAAATAGTGTAGTTAACGAAAAGGTGATCAACAATAACTTTACTTTTTATAAATAATAAGAGGGGTGCCCTTTTTTCACTTCAGTATTGTACGTTTATCTTTTCCTCAATGTATTTTATTGTCGGATAGAGCTGAGATCTGAGATCTTCATCTCCTCAAGCTTCTCCTTCATCATCTGTCTCTTCTGTTCTTCCTCCTTCCTCAGTGCAGTGATTGTAGCTTCTTTTTCATCTTGAAGAATCTGATGAAACTTCTAAACTCCTCTTTAATCTGCTGCTCTGTGAGCTAAGACTGAGTACAAATTCACAGCTGCATTTCCATATAATAGCCTATATCAAATATACTCTTTGTCAGTTATGTGTTGAAAATGTTGAGTATTTGACTCCTTGATGTGCTAGACTGTTTTATCACAATGTCCTTTCATTTTTGTGTATAAGCTTCTCCTGTAAGGACTTCAGTGCTGTTTTGTGTATAAGTGTAAATCTGTGAGAGTGCAGTTTCTGGGAGAACAGGTGATACATTAAAAACATTCAAAGAAAGAGAGTAAAAATAAATAATTTTCACATAAATAAATAAAAATATGTATTTTTTAAAAGGCCTATATGTATAATTAATCAGATTAAATCCTAATTCTTGTGGATGTTGATGGTTAACTTTATTGTGAATGTATATATGTTACGTATCACCTATATTTGTAATTGTATATGGATCAAAAATTAAATAATGCAAATGCAATGCATAAGTAAGTCCTGATGCCCGGATACATTTTATTTTGCTGCCATCTACCAGTATCATGAGGTATTACAATGAGATACACTGAGGAAAATAAACTAACAAGCCTGGAAATTCGTCCAAGAGATCCTCCTCAACTTTTAAAAATACACTCCTAGAAGAAAAGGTTCTACATAGAACCTTAAAGGGAAGACTTTTATGGATTTAAAGTTTAGTTTTTAATTTTAATTAAATGCTTTGAATTAAACAGCTTGTAAACATACGTTAAAATAACCTGTTAAACACGAAAGTATTAGGCCTATATAAATGATATATGATATAAATGGCGTGAAAAAATAACCAGTTGCACATATGTGCATGTATCACAGTATATGTATGTATTAAACAGTATCTAATGTAAATTGATCTGAGAAGCAGAAAAAGATGTTACACTCTCTAGAGTAAGGAAATAATTTATTTGATTTATTAATTAATTAATTAAGAATGTATTTCTCTTGAAACCCCTCATTGTAAAAGCTCACAACATTGCAGATAAAGATACAATTATTATAGTATTGATCTTGGTCTGCCTGGTATTTGGCCTACTCAGGTCTAACTTTTTTCCATGCCAAAAATATCCTGTATTGAAGACCAGGACCTGGTCTCACGACCTGAGGCAGTTTTGCTCCCTCTGTGAAGGTCCATGTCCATCCAACACTGCATGAAAAGGGTAGAATCTGGAAACATCTGGCCATGGTAAACTTCCGTGTAATTTCAGGTTTGCGCGATGTATGTGAAAAAAAAAACTGAGCTAAGTTACAAAGAACAGTAAATATCCAGAAATACCAGATACTTGGCGTACACAGACATATATATCCGTGAAATTTCATGGACATTCCCAAAACGTTAATGTGTGTTATGACATGTGTAGCCTATCTTTTCCTGGGCAATAACAGTGGAACTGCCAATAGTTATGTTGGCATAACTATAAAGAGTATTCAAATATACTCATTTATATCATTTATATGTGAATAACGGAATAACTACAGCACACCCCGTTGCAAAGACCTTTGTGTTTTTACCGATCTCCGGTTGGTCACACTTCTTGAAGAGACATTTCAAACACCAACAGCTACAGACTGAAACACCGTAAGCCAGCACAGTTCTGAGCAGAATCCACTTCAACATCATGCACAAACCAGGTAAGAATGATTATCTAAATTGTGTAAAAAAATGTATATATTTAATAATGCCAATTATATTTATACTGTATTTTTTTCTCAAATGTTTCCTCTTTTCCACAGTATCCTACACACAAGACTGGGTCAACTCATCTTCTGAGATTATGTAACAGAAGTTCAGAAGGTGGTGCAATCTTTTAATATCCATTTTTGCATTGTTTTACCTATTCAATTAAATATTTTCTGTTACTAAACATAGTTTATGCCTTTAAGGTATATCTTAAATAAGGTATATCCTCATCATATATTTATGATGAGGCTATGAAGAAGAAGTATATTCATATTTTATTTCGGAAAGGCCCAGCTGAAACACTCAATCAAGGTTGTGGCAAAAAGCCAAAGAGAGACAACAGTAAGTTTAGAAATTGACATGATGTAACTCTTTTTAGGCTTTAAGTATTGCTTTAAGCACTTAGTATTGTCAGTGATTACATTACTGTTATTTTGCAGTTGCTGGAGATGAAATCAACAAAGACAACTACAGAAAGAGCATTGTGGAGGACAGAAAGGGTGGAGCTCTATGTAAGATGAGGAAAATGTTGTGGATTCATGCAGGAGCTGACTGGAGTCTGCTGGGACACATCATCTAATGTGTTATTTACTGCCTTTGAAATCTTTCATTCAAAGTAGATGTTGTATTTTTAAATGTTGTTTTCTGTTGAAACTGTTGTTTTCTGGCTGTTTTTATGTTTTAGATATATTTAGGCCTACTGTTTTCCCTAATGAAGAAAAACAATCAATTTTTGGTCAACTATATTTTTTTCTGTCTGCCCACCTGGCCTGAAACCAATCAAATCACTCACCTGCAATGGTTTTGGGAGGGATATATTTTAAAGAAAACCAACCAGATCATTCATTTTAAGGGTTTTGGGAGGGATATATTTCCAATGACTTTACTTTTGAGGAAAGTCTGTGGCCCAATAGCTGTCTGGTGTAGGTGTGAAAATTTCCCCTGAAAAAAAAACCTTGAGGGGATTACTTGCCATGACAACAAATGTCTGTAGCATTGTAGAATGCCTTAGCAACTTACGTCGGAATTGGTATCATTACGGAAGTATCCGGACTGGTGGAATCTGATACGGTCAGGAGTACTTGTGGATACTTCCATAAATCAGTGGTTTATAAGACATGACTAGTCTGGATACACTTCTTTTCATGCAGTGCAATTTTAAGAACAGGTCACATCAGAAAATTTTTCCCAGCAGGCCCCAGCGAGGATCGAACTCACGACCCCTGGTTTACAAGACCAGTGCTCTAACCACTGAGCTATGGAGCCTCACATAATGCCTGTCAATCACTTGAGTGTTTGTCCTTTGAGTTAGAATGACAAAGACACACCTCAAAGAATTGGCAGGCAGCCTAAGATATCTTAAGATGCTGCCTGCTTTGAGAAAAAGTCAACGTTTAATGTGTAAAACTCTTGGTAAAGTGGCTCCAGTAGTTTGTGTGACTTTTTACTTGTCATAACACAGAATTCACTGCACATTTATGCATATTACATGTAAGAAAGCATGAATATCAAATCACGCTGTGGAAACTGTTGGTCCGACATGAATGATCAAACTAAACTCACTCCAAACAACAGACTGGTCACTTTCTTGTAGCCCAACTGACTCAATTTGTTTGAAATAAACTGTTCTAAAAAAGGAATCACCTTTATAGATACATTATATGTAAAGACACTTGACAAGGGCAAGATGTTCTGGTTCCTTGTCACTAATAACAGTCAGAATGAAAGACTTCAGAGTGCAGATGAATCAGATTCATTTGACTGTGATAAGTTCACCCATGAGTTCAAGACTCAAGATCAGACACACACTGGGATTGATTGCTTAAATCTTTGGGATTGATGGGTTTCTCTGGAGATTGTAAGAGATATTCACCATCTTCGTACCACACACACACCAGACATTTCCTTCCTTTGGTTTGATTCTATGGTTACTAAACCAATATGAATAGTCTCCAACAAGTGTGTTCCTGAGTCAAAGGCCTCTTGAGCCAGGACACAGGCATATGGGTAAAATCTCTGGATTATTAGGAGCCAGCTGCTGCATCTTGCTGTGTCTGATCAGATCATCAGAGAATCAGGCGTGTATTTGCAGTACAGAGTCACAGGAACTGATGACAGATACAAACAACAGGGTTGCTAATGGTCTCCGTAGTACCATACTATAGTACTACTCATTGGGCCTGGGAAAAAGGAGTCCCACTCGTGCGTTTTAGTGATGACCCTGTCTATGTAGTCACTTTGTATTCACTATGTAATCCACTTTTGTAATCCACTCTTAAAAATAAAGATGCTTTAGTGACATCAGTTGTTCCATGAAGAACCTTTCCATTGTACAAAACCTTATTTAGTTGGAAAAACAGTTCTTTAGAGTCTTTAGATTATATGTAAAAATGTTTATTTTAAGAAGAGTTTACTCAAAAGGTCTTTGGGGAATCTAAAATTCTTCTATGGCATCTGTCATGTATTCCCTGTGTGTGTGTGGACTCTTCTGTAGTTTCATGTCCTGTGCCATGTTTTGTAGTTCTTTGTATTTCATGTTGATTAGTCTCCCCAGGTGTGTCTTGCTAGTTTACCCTCCTGTGTTCCCATGACAATGTATCTACGCCCCCTTGTTAGCCTGTGTATATGCCCTTGTGTTTCTCTTGTGAATGTGAGTTGTTGGTTTTGCTGTACCTGCCCTGTCTTGTTCTGCCAGATTAATCAGAGCTCCAGAAAGCATCTGTGGATCAAACTCTGGGCTCTGGAATAACATTCAATAGTCAGAACTGCAGTGAGTTTGAGTTAACAATCAAAAACACAAAAGTGACACGATGTCTCGCTCACCTTTGTGAATAATGCCATTGTGGCATTAAAGTTCTGCAAAATATCCTATGTTTTATCTCCTCAAAGAAATTGTATTTGCATAAATTGATTGTGTTAAAGGAGATTCTTAATATAGGGTGAGAGTTTGAATAGGGTTGGCAATTAATCAGTTGTTTTTTGCACAAAAAGAATCAGTTTTCACATGTAGAAATGACATACCGGGGTTCATCTTATCCTCAATGTTGTTTTATTGTGTCGGATAGAGCTGAGATCTGTCTGTTAATCTCCTCCTTCATCTGACTCTTCTGTTCTTCCTCCTTCCTCAGTGCAGTGATTGTAGCTTATTCTTCATCTCACAGAAACCGATGAAGCTTTACTTCTCTTTAATCTGCTGCTCTTTGAGCTGAATATAAAAACAAACAAAATTATTAATAAAATTAAAATCACCTCTGCATTTAGACATTTCTGTCCATGTTCTCACCTTGGTGTCCTGAGATGTTTTATAGCACTCTTTTTTTTTCTTAGAATGGTTTAAAATGTTGTTTTGACCTTTAAACTCGAAGAGGTGTAGGTATTTTATATGTTCAAGCACTGAGCCACAAATAAAAATGTTATAAATGCATTTGCATTTACACAATTTTAAAACAATTTACATTTATTTTAAAGAAAGATAGCACAATGACACTTTTTAATTAAGGAAGAAGGGGACCTAAAATGAAAATAAATGTTTCTTTTCTTGTAAGAAACAGCTTTATTAATGAGGCAGATTGGCATGTTTTTCTGAATCTCTGCGCACACAACACGCAGGCTGTTCATCTTCCAGAAGAGTTTGAGATTCTCATTGTACAGACTGCAGATCACCTTAGACCCTGAAGCACTTTCTGCTGTGAAGGACACACATACGTTCTTCAACACCAGATTACAATACAAGGATCTATTCCTGCAGACGGGACACTGCCAGACTTTCTCGGTTTTCTAGAACTGCTGAAGACATTCTTTACAGACACTGTGACTATTACAGAATAACAGGAAAACTGAAGATTTCACAGCACACGTAAGATCTTCCACAGATACTGTTTTCACAGAATCCAATCTCAATTTTCTAATATTTGAAATTATCATTATTCCTTTTTTAACCTTTTTTTGAGATGTTGTCCTCAGTTCCCCACTAACAGCTTTTCAGTTTTTTCTGTTACTTCCTGGAGTTTCTGAATAGCCATGGGTTTAGACTCTAACAAACACTCATTTTTATTTGTGCATCTAATAATCACCTCCTGAAAGAAGAGCAGAATAGTGTTCCAATCCAATATCACACACCGGTGTAAAGAAGCATTTTAGCAGTTAGGACTTTCATGTGTCTTACATAAGCATATTTACATAAAAGACTATAATTCAGGGATTAAGACAAGTGTATTCTCTGTAAATAAATTAATTCCCCCCTGATTCACTTCACATAAATTCAAATTTATTACACTTTATTTATTATTTATGTAGATTTTGTTTTTATTGATGCTTTTGTGTAGTGTATTTCATTGGTGTTTTGTTTCCTTTTTGTTAGGAGTTTAGAAAACTCTTCAGTAAATGGATAGTGCACCCAAAAATGTTGTTCCAAACCTGTATACATTTCTTTCTTCTGCTGAACACAAAATAAGATATTTTGAAAAATGCAAATAATCAAACAGTTGACAGCACCCATTGACTTCCATCGTAGGAAAAAATACTATGAAAGTCAACTGTTTGGTTACAAACATTCTTCAAAATATCTTCTTCAACATTCAAAAGTTCTTCCAGTGTGATTTCAGATGCGGCCTTTGCTTCATTGGGTCTCCTCTCTCCTGACAACTAAAATTATAAGAATGTTTCTATGACAGGGCAATAAAAATATCACTTAAAAAAAAAGAAAAAAAGTGGTCACCCAAAAGTGGCTTAATTTGCCCCATTTCGAGAAAATACTCTTGTGATTTACAGGTCTAGGCAACATAATTTATTGGCAAATCACCAGCATATATTTATTTCTTTGGTGTTAGTTAATAATCAGGTTTTGCAAGTAAAAAAGTCATTATAGCTATTACTATTTAGAATATATGCCTGAACACAAAATTTTTAGAGAATAAACAAACACTTTTCCCATTTGTTCCTTTCAAACAAAGTAACCTAGTCACTGCGTGCACATCAAGTGATATTTTCTCCAGAATTGGGTGCAGGTGAGATTTAGAAAATATTTTTCTTGTTAGATCCTATTTTTGTCTTAATTATAATATCTACCGGAAAAGGAAGGTTTGGTTAAGCGCAGCTACACCTCTGATGACGAAGCAGCTACGTAAGTGAACCAATCATCTTATCCGGGCGGTGTGGGCTGGAGGCGAACTAGACTCGCAGGATGCGGGCGGGGTGAACAGTGCATATTATGAACAAATGTAGCCCAATCTAGCATAGACCACAAACTCAGTCACTCACTAATATCCTCAGGTAAGAATACTCATCTTTTGTTGTGTGGTAATGAGTTGCGCATGCAGTTCGTACGATGATAGTATGCTATGATTTCCAAACAGCGTATTAGCGTTTGATATATGTTCACGATACAGTCACGCAGTAAAACATGGGGGTTGCAGTACAATACAAACCTTGTGTGATATATTAATTTTTTATATACATGGACATTTACTAAGCTTCTCTGCGATTATTTCTATTTAATTATGTTCCCATGCTCAAATGTAAACATAGCAACTTAGTAGCGAGAAGCCTGTTGGGTGATGTGGACGGGGCGAAGTAGCCAGTTACTCAACTGAGCTTTATCTTCTCTTTTTTTTTTCAACTGTCGATTTATCTGGAGATTGAAAATTAAAATCGTTGTGTAACGTTGGATATATTGATTATATGATATGTTGCATGTAATTCGCCTCGTAGCCTAGTATTAGCTCGTTCTTTAAACTGTTAATAAGTTGTAACCAAAGAGCGCGTGTGCTGTTTTTAGAGTAGCCTACGGCACTTTTATTTGAACCTTGTGTCCATTTTGCTGATAACTTATGTGTACTGTGCTTGCAAAAGGGTGTGCCATATTTTGAGATTATTAAGAACCCCCAAATTGGAAGTCAAAACTAAAGGATGGGGTCTCAATGTCTCACCTCAGAGTTGAAAAAGTATCAAGAAATGGGCGTGTAAAGCTGTGGGAAAGTGGGAGAGTAGAAGGTGGGAAAAGGGGAGAAAACAACCAATAAAACGCAGACCTGCAACACATTAAGGTTGACTGTAGTCAGGCGGATCCATGCCGGATCAGATAATGGACCTGCGCCTAGCCACGACCACAACGCAGCCCTGAAGTGTCAACTAGACTAGACTATCCCCTAGGGCTGTGCGATATAGCTAAAAAAAATTATCACAGTATAATGTTTCATATCTTTCGGTATCAATAATTATTGAAATTTCTTTTATAGCCTTTTTTTTTAAGACAAGTAAAAAAGTTTGAATTTAAACTTGTTTTTTATTTATTTATCCACATTATTAAGGCAAATAACAAATTATATTCGTTTTAGCAGTCAAAAACGAAATAAAATGTAAACAAAAATATCTTCTTTAGGTCTTATATTAAGATAAAAAAAAGTAAGTGTTAAAGAAACTCTTGAACTTAAATAAAATGTTACAAAATGTGTGCAATGTAAAAGTGTAAACGTAGAACAATCAAGGCAAACTTTGAGGTAGATCAACATCTGTAATAAGTAGGGGTGTAATGGTTCACAAAATTTGATACGCAGACTGATCTCATGAAATGGCGTATGTATGACACGCCAATTCGTATTTTCATTTTTGGCGTGCTATCAACACGCATAATCGCTTTTCAGCGTGTTTATCAACGCCTTTGACTTAACGTTATATTACTGTATTATGTATATATAAATATATGACCTACCCCAACCCCGTCCCTAAACCTACCCGTCACTGGGGTTAATACCATTTATGAGTCTTCTCCTACCATCCTAGGAAAAGAAATATCGCTCCACAGATGTAGATATAGATTTTGCTTCGTTTCGCTCGGACATTTAACGGCGTACACATACACGCGGAATCACTCGGACATTTAATGGCGTAGACATACACGCAAAAGATTTCGGCGTGGACATACACGCGGATAGCTCAAAATGCGTATAGATAACACGCCACTTGAATTGAAAGTGGCGTGTATGTTTACGCAAAGTCATGATGTCATGTTGCGATACGACACAGTGGTGTCACGGTTCGGTACGTTTCTGATACAGCGAAAAGAAAGAAATGCCAGAGAAATTAACCTTGATTTTTTATTTATTTATTAAGTTTTCCTACATCTTGAAAATTTTAGTTTTATAAATGGGGGTAATCTTTAAAGGATGAACAAATAATGTTTTGGTCATCACATTAAAAATAACATTTAAATATGATAATATTTTGAAGTGTGACGTACTTCTACGTACTATTCCTGCCAAACTTTCATGGTTAGCTACAGTTAGTGTTGCTACATTAAATCCACGGTGAATGTTGCTGATCTGTGGACTTAAACCCTATACCTAGTTCATTCATGGCACAGTTTTTCTCCTGGTTTCCACGTCAGCGCTGTTTGATCCGTAAGGAGAAATTTTAATGTTTCTCACTAGATCTAGCAGAGATGTTATTACTTCTGTGACGAATTCAAATGCTTTCTTTACTGGATCTCTTAGCGCTGTCTGTGTAGTAACATGGTCTCTTGATCAAGATCGGCCCGCGCTGCACTGACATTGGTCCAAACTGAGCGTGAAGCACAAAATAATGAGTAGCGCAGTTTTTGTTCCGCTTTCATTACGTTTGCCATTTGATGTCAAGTACACCTGGCTGCAGCCTGCAGATCGGGCTGGTTAGTGGCAAAGTGATGACGTCGATCAAGGCGGGGCCGCACCTGGGTGTAGCCCCGCCCATAACTCTTCTCATTGGTTAGTGGCACAGTAATGACGTCGACGCCACAGTAAAAAGTAAATGCGGTGTTTAAAACGCATGCGTCATATCGAGTTGAAGCTGCTTCATCGAGCCCCTCTCCAGTGGACAGCAAGCCAAATAAGTTTAACCCAATATATTAAAGATTTTATGGGCAAACGAACTCGTTAAATGAAAATATCGAGCACTATATCGAACATTTTTTATATTGTTACCGACAATGCAATGGTATACCGTCGATAAATACTGATACTGTTTTATCGCCCAGCCCTGTGTAGTAGAGGTAAAAATTTGTACCCGAACCCAAAGGGACCCGTAATGTGCTACACGGAACTGACCTGGATGGACCCGTCTATTATTTCAAAAGCTGGACCCGGACAGATCCGAGAAATGCCATAAATGTACTACCCGGACCCGACCTGGACCCGTCTATTATTTGAAAGCTGGACCCAAACCCGGCGGGAAGACACAGACCCGACTGGACCTGATTGTCACATATTAGACACTAAATCGCTGACGTTAGCATTATTTATTTGCTATCATCTCTGCGCTGAGTCTGACCACCAAAACTTTAAGATTAAACAAGACGGTTCATTCATATTATTATAAAAATGGGAGAAAGTGTAAAGCTTGGTGGAATAAGTCCCGCCTTTTAAGTGAAAGAGCCAATCGTCAATTGGTAAAGTCATATAGAGCCTAAGTCCCTCCCCTTCCCGTCGACCACCATGGGACCTTATTTCGGAAAAATATTGTATGAATGGCGAGAGACAACAATATTATGATCTCGTTTGAATTGTGCGATGAATTACACATATGATGTTTGTCAATTTAAAAGATAGATTTTAAAGTCAAGAAAGTCGCAGTTTGATGTAAAACTGTTGAGGTATAAGACTGTGAAAATACGTAATTACAAAGACTACAAACCCAAAAGGCGCACATTTTCTCTCAATGAATGAAGCTAACTTTACTGAAGCTAATGTCTGTAATTTTTTCTATAGTCTTACGTTATAATCGTAACGTTACGCCGTCATGCCTGAGTGTTTTGTACCAGACTGCACACATACAGGCAATGTATCTTGCTCGTCGTTTCGCTTCCCGGGAGATGTAGTTCATTGAGCGATTTTTACATAAAACTAAATGCTACTCTTCTGTTTTATGACAAACTGCGACTTTCTTGACTTTCAGAATTATCTTTTAAATTGACAAACATCATATGTGTAATTCAGGGCACAGTTCAGAAGGAATAAAAAGATAAGTTGTCTCTCGGCATTGACTACCATACATATTCTTTTCCGAAATGAGGTCCCATGAGCCGGAAGCGGAGGGGAGGGACTTAGGCTCTCTATTGTGTCACTGCAGAAGCTCTGGTTGCCATAGAAACATGACGCGCTTGCTGCCTTGAGCAACCTGAAGAGCTTTTTAGCGTATTTTTTTTTTTTTTTTTACCTTTTTTTACCCCGACTCACACTTTTCTTATCCTAATTTTACAAGTTGCAAGTTACAAAAAACACACAAGCAGTGCTGACTGACTCTGATCACGGCCGGGTGTTCTCCGAGTCCAATCGACTCTGGTATTAAACACAATTTTAAACTGACCTGGGACCCGAAGTAATAGATTGTGACCCGACCCGGACCCAGCTGACCATTTAAAACAGGGTTCCTCAAACTCGGTCCTGGAGGGCCACTGTCCTGCAGAGTTTAGCTCCAACCCTGATCAAACACACCTGAGCAAGCTAATCAAGGTCTTCAGGATAGAAACTCACAGGTAGGTGTGTTTGATCAGGGTTGGAGGCTTGGAGCTAAACTCTGCAGGACAGTGGCCCTCCAGGACCGAGTTTGAGGAACCCTGATTTAAAATATAGACCCGAACCCGTACGGGTCCCGGCTCCTCGGGTCTCAGGTGCTCCGTGTAGACCTCTACTGTGAAGGCCTCATCGAAACAACAAAAGTTTTTTTTTCACGACACGTTTTTCCTCTGTACAGATGAAAGGAGATCAAAATGATTCCTGTTCACACGCATCCGCGGAAACTAATTTAAACGCTGTATTATGCATGTCACCCAAGTAATTGGCAATGTCACTTTGTAAAGAAAGACTATATGCCCGTGCATTCAAATGTGCATGCCTATAGACTAAACGCGTAATATGCATGTCTTCACCGTTTTCACAGATTCACGTTTTTGAAGTTTACACGGAGATAATAACGGTATCGCTTTCAAAACCCATTTTAAAAACTTGCACTTTGAAACCTACTTCAAAGTTTGCATTCTCAGGCCACCAAAACACCATTGTCGTGTAAATGAACTGCCAGAGCGCATTAAAAGTTTTCTGTTTTCAGTTGAAAGCGGTGTTGTGGAAGCGGCCCCTAAGATAATAACTAATGATTTTTACAACGGAAATGAATCAATTAAAAACTTACTTAAAGCTGCAGTCTGCAGTTTTTCCTCTTTGTCGCCATCTCTGTTCAAAATCTGCAATTGCAGTTATTCGCGGAATTATCAACTTTACGTGAGTTGTAGTTCGACACGACACAGCGCGGATGAACACAATGTTTGAGGAGAGTGTGCAGCTGTCAGTCACCGCACCGGTGTCGATACTGGCATTCAGAATCACAGATTATTGTTTTTGGAAGTATGACCAACATAATCATTTTCTCCGGAAAATGTCATCTGAACAATTAAGAAACATCCACTTTTGTTCTGGTTCTGACATTGCAGTAAATCGCGCTGATTAAATCTAACAATCGCTTATCATATCATGCAAAACCGTGCAAATTATAGTTTGTTCTCAAATTGTTAATGTTAACAACGTCAGCATTGCGTGACTACATGTAATGTCCTTCCGATACATATCTTTGTTTTCGCATGGGTCCGGTTGCAGTCTCTTTTTTTTCTGTAGCCACTCCGAGGTCCGAACGAAGTCTTTTGCATTTTACAGTGGGTGAATCTGTTGTCACTGGTGATTGTCGTTTGAACCTTTCTGGATCCACCATCAAATTGATAAGTTTAATTATATTAAGTGCTGTGAGAAAAGGCTATAAATCTCCACCTCCAGCATCCTCACTCGCAATATAGCCTATACTAGCCGAGACTCCTCCTTTATGTGCTAATCTCCCGCAGAAATCCACCAGTACCACTGGAATTAAAAACATTATTACAAGCTTACCGTTTTGAATCGAGCTAAGGCAAGCAGAGAGTTTTGAACACTGGCTGGTTATGTATTTTCTCAAATATGTATTTTGGATAATTTTTAACCCAAAAAAAGCTACGGACTGCAGCTTTAAGCTAGACAATGACTTTCTTCTAGAGCTGCTGTAAAGCCAAAACAATCATTGTTTATTGTTGTTTACAGAACAATTGTCATGCATTTCCTATTACCACTGTAAAGCTGCTTTGAAACAATCTGTACTGTAAAAAGCACTATATAAATGAAGGTGACTTGATTTGACTTATTATACAGACATGTGAATATTAAAATATGAGTTGAGGGCACCTTGATGCATTTAAAAAATATATGACAACAAACTCACAAGAACGAGGGAGAAACTCGGAAGAACATTTAAAAGGTTTAATAATATTTTCATTACATTTACAAGCACTACAGTGTCTGAACAAATGACACACGTCAGTTTAACACAGAAAGAATAAAGGCATAGTCACTTTTTTCGTCCATTGTTCTTTGAATTTTCGGTCTACATCTGTGTCTCTACTTGTGTATCAGAATTCATCGTGCCATCACGTTCATGATCAGACGTACGGCTGTATCAGTATCCTTATTTGCACATAATAGTCTGTTTCAAATGAAGAAGTGATTAAATTTTTGTGCATACACTGTGCTGGTTCATGTTTAGAGCACTACTACTGTAGAATATATAAACTATGTCCAAAAAAACTCCAGTCCGTATATGATCTATGATCCGTGTTAAACTCATCGCGGCGTTTCGTCTATTAGATATTGTTACAGTCATTATTTGTGCTTTTAGTGTTTTCAGTGATGTGCACCCTGTACATATCTGTTCTCATCTCTTGCAACTCTTATCTCTTTATGTAATGGCTAAATGTTACAGGGGATAGTAATAGGACAGTGGGACAGTGTGTCAATGTGTCCAATGCCAAGAATGTAACATGGGACTATAAATAGCCTTGGGTCACTCTCCCATCCTGAACGGAATGGATTTTCCATGTCTCGACCTTAGCCTTGATTTAGTCAATGAGAGTAATCTTCTGATGACTACAGTAATTTGAATTGTTTTTACATCAAGACTAAAGAACTTGATAATCATGGCATCCTGACTATCGAGACTTGAAATCCAGGCAAGTGTAAAATCTTAGTTTTGTTTAATTTGTGTAATTGTGCTGTGGTTTTCCTGCAGGTTCTTTGAGGGTAAGGTCAAATCATCATGGCTGCTACCTCCCAGGTGTTCAGGGTCATCCATGGCAGGAGATTTGGTCAAATCCTGGTGCCAGCTATAACATGCCAAAACTGCAGTCTGTCGTCTCATCTCTGCACCAATGCAACTCAGCCACGTAGTTTTGTTCAAAGATGGCGGCACCAGTCACGGGGATACAGGACCTCACCTGCAAGGCAAACCTACTACCTGACCCCACCTCAGGTAAACAGCATCCTAAAGGCAAATGAATACAAATTCAAAGTTCCTGAGTTTGATGGCAAGAACCTTAGTTCAGTCATGGGCTTTGACAGCAACCAGCTACCGGCAAACGCACCAATTGAGGATCGGAGAAGTGCAGCGACTTGCTTGCAGACGCGCGGCATGCTTTACGGAGTATTCGATGGCCACGCAGGCTGCGCTTGTGCTCAGGCGCTCAGCGAGCGGCTCTTTTACTACATTGCTGTTTCGTTGCTGCCGCATGAGACGTTGACGGAGCTGGAGAACGCCGTGGAGAACGGACGACCTGTTCACCCAATTCTGCAGTGGCACAAGCATCCCAACGACTACTTCAGCAAGGAAGCCTCACGGCTCTACTTTTCCAGTTTGCGCACATACTGGCAGGAGCTTCTGGACCTGAGCGTTCCTGGGGAGCAACCTGATGTTGTTGAAGCTCTTGTGAGTGCCTTTAAAAGGTTGGACAATGACATGTCCCTCGAAGCACAGGTTGGCGACCAAAATGCGTTCTTGCACTACTGGATGCTTCGTGTGGCATTTTCAGGTGCTACCGCATGCGTTGCACACATCGATGGTAATGAGCTGCATGTTGCCAACACTGGAGATGGCCGTGCAGTCCTGGGCGTACAAGAACCCGATGGCTCTTTTTCTGCCTTGACGCTCTCCAATGACCACAACGCGCAGAACGAATCCGAGGTGCATCGCGTGCGGTCCGAGCACCCGCTTTCCGAGGCCAAGACTGTGGTGAAGCAGGATCGTCTCTTGGGGTTACTCATGCCATTTCGCGCTTTCGGCGACGTTAAATTCAAGTGGAGCATCGAGCTGCAGCGCCGTGTTCTTGAGTCCGGACCGGACCAGCTCCATGAGAATGAGCATGCCAAGTTCATCCCACCCAACTACCACACGCCACCCTACCTTACTGCGGCACCGGAGGTGATACGACACCGCCTTCGTCCACAGGATCGTTTCCTGGTGCTGGGCTCGGACGGGCTGTGGGAAACGCTACACAGGCAGGAGGTGGTGAGGATTGTGGGTGAACATCTCACTGGAGTGCACCAGCAGCAGCCAGTCAGTGTTGGTGGCTTTAAGGTGACCCTGGGTCAGATGCAGGGATTGTTGCAGGAAAGGAAGGCTCGCATCTCCTCCACCTTCGAGGACCAGAATGCAGCTACACACCTGATTCGGCACGCGGTGGGGAGTAATGAGTTTGGATTGGTGGACCATGAGAGGTTGTCAAAGACTTTAAGCTTGCCAGAGGATTTAGCTCGCATGTACAGGGATGATATCACTATCATTATAGTGCAGTTTAACCCACATGTCATAGGCGGACAGTAAAAGTGGGCCTACTCTTTCGTCCACACGCTCTGTTACATATCCTGTGCACAATCTCATCGTTGTATTATCAGTAATATCAGCACAGCAAAATGTTACCTATACCAGTGGAATGTATTACATTTTAATGTTCATTTTTATTTTCACATATGCATGGCAGCTGCCTTAAAGGGGTGAGTGGCGTTGATTCCCAATGTTACATGTGGAATGAAGCTAAACAGAAAAGGTTATGCTGAGCCCACCACAGACCCGCTATCACGATTAAACAGTCAAAATGCAACACAAAACCATAAATTAAGACTGGAAATCTCATATCTGGTGAGATTTACTAATGTAGATTTAGCAGATTTTGCACTGAGGAGAGACTTTAAATAGTGAGGATGACTGTAGTGTGCCAAAATTATCTTTTATGTTGAATGCTTTTAACTTTTGAACGAATGAAAAAGGAAAGTAAAACAAATCTAATTAAAAAATGAGTTTGAAAGAAAGAGAATATCAAACGAAATAGGTCCATATAAGTACTTTTTAATTAGAATGCTCTGTAACAGATATGTGGAATAATGAGAAGATGGTTCACCCAAAAAATAAAATTGTCATTAGTTTCTCACCGTCATGTCATTCCAAACCTGTATGACTTTTTTCTTTTCTGTGTTCAAAAATGATATATTTTTAAAAAAATGCCCCAGTGACAGTCGGTGTTATTTTGGACACATTGACTTACAAAATACTTTTTTTTTCTTAGTTTTTGTTTTTTTGCGCTGTGCAGATGGAAAATAAAGTCATACAGGTTTGAAACGACATGAGGGTGAGTAAATGATGACAGATGTTTTATTTTAGTTGCTAATGCAGTGACGAATGTTTTTCAGAATCTTTCATTTTCTAAGTGCTTTATGTTAGTACCATTTGCATTCTTTTTGACTTAAGTTCTCTTTTTTTGAACAGCATGGCTTTAATAGATGCAGTTTTTAATGAAGTACATCTTTAAATTCAACCAAATTATATTCCCATTACTGTAAAAATCCTGATAAAGAGGTCTGCTTAATATATATATTTTTTTTTACCTGTAAATGGAACCAGAAGTTGGCCATTTGATGGTTTGTACAGGAAGGCAAAAGTTCCATACATGTGTAACGTAATAAGAGACCTGTCACTGCTAATAACAAAATTACTTTCACATACTTCAGTTCCCTCTGACAGTGATTCTTTATTTATAATGCTGCCATTGCTTGGCCATTGCTGAAATTCTGTTTACTGAGGTGTGGAGGGTTCTCTGAAAGGTGAGGGACAGGTATTTAAAGAAACCGGTTAATGACAACAAACCCTTCTTGTAAGATGCACAAACACACCTGTATGCTTACACTGCTGTGGGGAAATCTGAACCTGAACAATTTGCTTTATGGATTGTGTTTCCAAGTAATTGAGTTGATATGCGGTTTTTTTCCAGGTGTCACAACATTTTTCAAGTGATTACTGGCCCCAGGGTACAGATTAGAACTTGAGTTCAATGTTATATTTTTGGTCCGAGGGTTATTGAACAAGGTTAAAACCATATCTCTGTGTAATTGTACTTTCTTGCCTGTATGTTCCCATCTCTTGCACAAGAACACAGCTGATTACCACATGAGATGTTTTGAATGATAGTCAATCAGCAATCAGTGTTAGTAATACTGTTACAAAATTATAGGCTTGCTAAAGTGTAAATAGAGACAGCTTTATATTGGAATTACTTAATACTTTAAGTAAATGTATGCTGCGGCTTAAGTTTGAAATGTTCAGTATGTTTAACAATATTTTGCAGCATGTCACAATTTAACAATATTATACTACTATGTGCTGGTGCATGGGCATGGCTTGTGCGAGTACTCCTGCTTTTTGTATTTAAAATGTTTTAATAAAAATGCTATAACCTATTTTTGTATTTTGTTGAAATTAGTGCATGCAGTGTAAAGGTTTCAGTTTCTAAGCTGAACAGTCCAGGCAAGGAAATCCAAACAGATCAAGGTGACTTTTGTTGCCAGAAGTTGCGTTTCATTCTAGGAATACACATTTATTTAGTATGAATGATTGAACTTTGTGTGTATTTTTGGAAGGCTGCCCAAACAGAGCAGTTGGTTCAGGGACAGGGGTCAAGTCATCATGGTGTCAGATCACAGTTTCTAGTTTGGCAAACTTTAAGTAGGTCAGTCTATCATAAGGCTCTGTCATGACATGGCAATTCTGAAACTTTAAATGTCAAGAGTTTAGTGGATTCTAGGACACACATATCTGCATAGTATTTAATGGGCCTAACCCAAATACCTACAAGGCTTCTGAATTTTCAGCAGCCATTACTCAAGTCTTCAGTGTCACATGATCCTTCAGAAATCAGATTTGGTGCTTTAAAAAACTTTTCTTATCAATATTGAAAACCTTATGCTGCTTAATATTTCATTTCATGATTCTTTAAAGAACTGTCTGGGGAGAAGAAATGCTACTGACCCCAAACTTGTGAACAGTGAATTATTAATATGGCAGGCCTACTATACACATTATTCTAGGAAAGACTTTGATATAAAAATGTTATAGATCCCTGCTCCATATCTTTATCCACAAAAGGGGTCATTGACCCGAGGGGGAGGGGGAGGGGAAACAGTAAACAATCTTACTTTCATTCTGACATTATTAGTCCAGAAGAGGAGTCTTGCATTTGGGTCATTCTACGGAAATGTCCATTTTTCTGTCCCTAGCCTTTACAGAAATATTACAATAAAAAAAAAACACTTTAGAATTACAATTTCTTTACATTTTAAAATAAAACTGTTATTTGAACAATTACACCTTCTTGAGCCATCAAGTGGCAATATTTTATTTTTTATTAATTATATAGAATTCCAAACACCACAGAAGTGCTCGTCCCCACAGTCATGTACAGAGGGAAAATGCTTTATTTTGAGGTCAATAACAGGTTTTTACACCATTTAAAATACAGTAATGCATACATAACTATCTAATATATTATGTAAATGCAGAGGTGGACTGTCATGGCCATCAGGGCCTTCTCTGCTGCCCTGTCCAAAAATAATATAAAATAATATATAATTAATATATAAAAAAATTTTTTTTTTTTTTTTTTCACGATAATGTTTCCTGAAAGAATATGGTTATTTTGTTGAGGCTGAGCTGGATTTTCCATATGGTCATCTAAACGCATCACAGCTCCGTGGACCAGCACTAGCTGCCATTTCCCATTTGATCTTAACTTTGACTGACGTGTATCATTAGCCAATCAAAATTTGATGCGCATTGACAGAACGCCCCAGGGGGGCAGCGATGTGTAACGGCGCTAGCCCCCGCTGATGTCATCAGCCGTTTGAAAATTCGCCGGGTTGTGAGCAATGTCAGTAAATGTCAGCTTTATGCCCTCACATGCTTGATCGCGACCATTCCAGTGTCCACCGCATCAGTTGAGCGATCTTTCTCCGCTCTCAAGCGCATCAAAACGTATTTAAGGAATACAACTGGACAAACACGACTCTCTGCACTGGCATCTATTGCCATAGACAAGGAGCTGCTCATTCATCCTAAGCAGGACGCACAACAACTGCACGAGGAGGTCATTGAACGTTTCATCAGAAATGATCGGAGGATCTATTTTATTTGGGTATTTCCCAGAATTCGGGCCTATTTCTGTCCAGAGGGCGTAATTCTATTAAAAACTAATTCAATCTAATACATTTTAGCACCACTAATTAGTATAAACAAAAACAAGCTTAGACTTATTTTATGGCTCTTACTAATGATTTTAACACATTTTATTGGTGTTTTGTGGTACAATATCTGTGTTTTGGTGTTGTCCGCCACCAGAGTTTTCACTTGTCGTAACAAATCTCAAACATTATTTATCACAAATTAATTAAAAAAATGCATATGAATTAAATGTTACCTGAACTAAAAAACTACATGCACAGATTAAGCATATATATGCATTTTGTACTTTATTTTGCTTAATTTCTACCTGTCCCATGGTTTAGCTGTCATTACCAACACGCTCTGCATAAAGGCACTTTTTAACAGTTTTTTCATCAAAGGTTTATTTGGTAGCCATGGTAACCTAATAGCATAGTGGAGCGCATGGATTTCAAGCTGCAAGACTGATGCCTTGATGTCCAGAAAAGTAATAAATTTACTCTTTATTCTTTGTGTTGGGCATGTACACTTATTATGCGTCATTACCATATGTGTTGTATTTCTGTATTTTTAAACGTTTTTGGATTATTTTTATCACTTTATTAGTTAAAAAAGTGTACATTACATGTAGAAAGCTAGCTACACTTGCTTAGTCATCATCTTTGCTAGCAAGGCTAGTTTTTTTTTACTAAATTGTCATTCCCAGCACAGTCATTCATTCCCAGCACATTACAGCTTGTGCTGGTAATGACAGGTTGTGGTGGTGATGACGGCAGATACACACAGTTCCTGTTTGGTCTTCCATAATCAGATTAAACTATGTTTTGAGGTTTAAACCAATTAATAGCTGGTGGATTTGTCATCACCGCAACAAACTGTCATTACCAGAACTGCAATCTCATCACCATCACCATTACCATACATATTTTTGACAATAAATGATGTATAAATTACAAAAAACATCCTAGAATTATATATTTCTGACAAAGTTGGACAGTCTAAATTATCACTGTATTAAAAAAGTTTTGATATATGGCATTCACTTAAAATAAGCTTATATTCCAAGCCAGGGTAGATTGATGAATCAGAAATGTATACTTAAGTGACTATAATTCATCTTGCAAGTAAAAATCAACAATCCCATTAAGTTCAAGATAAAATAGATTCCATGTGAAACCACAAAATGTTTTAAAAGCACTGATTTATCATTTAAGTTTTATTGTTTTACATAGGCTATTCGATGATGTGATGGTAATGACACATTTACTTGACATAAAAAAATGGCAAAAAATCATAAATTCCCTTATCTTATGGTCTCAACCAAGCTCATAACATTGTACCTGACTTAAGGACTGATAATTTGATGTATAGGCCTACCAATTAGTCAAATTTGGGATTTTAATTTTCAAAATTGCAGCAACCCAAAATCTGGCCCTTAATCTGAGAAATGCCCATTTACAAGTAATGAGTGAGTGTACATATGCAATTGTAAGTCGCTTTGGATAAAAAGCGTCAACTAAATGAATAAATGTTAGGCCGGTGACACACTGGCTGCGTGGCGTGAGCGTGGCGTTTCTGTTGCGTGTCAGCTGCGTGGCGGCTGCGTCGCGTTTTCTGTGCACACCAGAAACGTGTCTGACGCGGCTCTGCTAGGTGACTTAATTCATATGTGACTAATAGGCTACTTCATGTTAAGCATAAATATAAAGCCTACTGATAAAGACACTGTCAGCACTATTGACAGCAAAATAGACTACGGAATATTTCTTTCTGTAT